GATACTGATGTTGATGATGTTGTTGGTGTTGCGGTTGTCCTTGCCGTTGTCGTTGTGGTTGTGGTTGTCGTTGTGGTTGTGGTTGTTCTTGGTTGTTGTTGTTGTTGTTGTTGTTGTTGTTCTTGTTGTTGTCGTAGGAGTATAGGCCTATGCATGAGGATAAGTTTAAGTGTAAGCATGAGAACAAGCATGAGCATACGCGTAAGCGTAAGTGTAAGTGTATGCACTAGTAGCATTGTAAATGCACGGCTAAAACTAAAAGTACTGTTGCAACTATAGATATAAGCCGGATCAGCAATGGCATACTCGCAAGTTTCGGTATGAACCGTAAATTGGAGTATAAGTTCAACAACAAGTCTATGCAGAAAGCCCGTAAAAATAATCTAGGGAATATCATTAAAGTGTAAGCTTGAGTGTGAGTAGTGGAAGTACAAGTACAAGTGGTAGCAGCAGTAGTAATAATGGTGCTAGTGGTGGCAGTTGTCGCAGTAGTGGCGGCCGTTGTGAGTAGTCACTGAGTAGTCGTGGGAGCGGTAGTGCAGCAGTAAAGTAGTAGTCGTCGTCGTCGTCGTCGCAGTCGTCTTCGTCGTGGTCGTAGTAGTAGTCGTAGTCGCCGTCGTAGCAGCAGCAGCAGCAGCAGCAGCTGTTGTTATTGTTGTGGTTGCTGCTGGCTCCGACACAGCTGATGATGTAGCAGTGATCATACCGACGGAAAACCAGAAACCTTGATGATGCATATATTATGGCAGTGCGACTGGTGACTAGCGTTGTAAAAACAGCAGTGCGGGCTTAACGCACGACAGCAGGTTGCAAATCGGCAGACAAGGCTCCCATGTGCTCCACGAAGGTGTCACCCTTCAGAACGTCAGCATAGCATGGAATTGCTATGGCCAGCATCTGGATCACGCAAGCCTCATGTCACATCTGAAAAACATGTCGTTGCTAGCTGCTACCTCCTCCGGCATTCCTGAAACAAGCAGAGCTCTCGATCCTTTCTATGAACAGTCTCGTGGCCATCATGATTTCAACCACAAACTGTCAACAGTGTGAGGATTCCTTTGAAGTTGCAGCTCCGAACCCGGAAACCCACACAGCCCAGCATGGCCAGGCAGCAAATGTTGCCACCGAGGATAGGACCGCTATCCTCTTCAGTGACCTTCGCAAGTCGTGGGCTGGATTTCAACACTGAATCCTGGATTTCCTGCTGTTGCCCTTGGAGAAAACTTGTAACAGATTCTGCTGGCAGGCGCAGGGCTAACGCTTCCCTCCTGCAGAGTCCCCGGCCTGATGAAGGTAAACGGCACCAGCAGAAGAAACCCCACCGCAGCAGCTTTCTTCCTCTCCCTTAGGCCGCGCCCGCCATGAAGCGCCGTCGCTGCTACGACTGGGCCGGTGCAGGCCGAGGAACTGCTGCCACTCGAACGTGTCTGCCAGGACGTCCGCGACTGTCACTGCCTCGGCGGCTCGGCAGGTACTTCGGTCTTCTGAAAATACCCAGGTCGAGCGCAAGGAGTCTCAGTTGTAGCAAGTCAGTGGCACGGCCATACGTCTAGAAATCAAAAGTCCTCTCCCCGGACTCTTTTGGCCTCCCCGAGGCGGAAGATGCTAAGAGCATGGCGATGGTGATGGTTATCGCTACACCAAAGAATTATCGTTCAATGGTTGATGGTACTTCTACGAATATAAGGATGGTGATTGCGCTGTTGACAGCCGAGTCTGAGGGCTGGACATAGGCAGTGCAGGAGCAGCACATCCTAAGGTAGAGGAGAAGTGGAACGTGCGGAGAGATGTGGAACTGGCATACTGTAGTGAGTGCTGAGGGGCTGGATGGTCATGAACGTGGCAATGATGCTGAAGCCGGCGGGCCCGAAGCACCATTGCCCAACGTCGGGGTAAGACCTTGGAAAGAAAGCGGCTACGAGGAAAAGAGCGATGCGAGTCGAGAGCGAAGCCGAGGCCCGGACACTTTGACCTTCGCCAGCTGGCAGGAACGATAGAGCAAGTGGAGGGTGTATCCTGCCGGATTGGGATCCAGTTCAACACTCGTCGGTCTTTTAGCTGCCCTTTGCTGCCAGGAGGCTGTTCAGGAAGTTCGATCCAGCATATAAGGCGAGACCCAGCACCAGGCCCACCTGTACAGCTGTTAGTGGGGTTCCGGGTCAGACGAAGCTCTAAGACCGGGTGGTGTTTCCGGGCAACCCAAGCGGAAGGCTGCGGGCGACCAGCGTGTCATGGTGTGTCTCGCTCCAACCCAGCTTTTGCCACTCCAGCCTCCGAGCAAACCCAGCCGACTGCTAGCAGCGACACGCCCAATGCATTGTTGAGCAAGTTGAAGATCCTTAGGCGGTCTGACAGCAAAGGAGCTTGAAGCATCTCGAAACAAAATCTCGCTGGGCGAAGAGATTGACCACTGACCACGAGCACACCTCGCCCACTGTTCGTCACACAAAGCCCAAACGGGACGCGGATTGCTTCAATGATATGCCTGGCGTCGCTTCAGTGTTGGACTGCAACGCGGCCTTGGCACTCTGCTCGTCAAGCCTTGCCAAGGGGGACCAGTCATAGCAGCAGTAGAGTCTTGGACCGATCTCAGAAGCTAAGCAACACGACTCAGGCGCTGGCTCCACAGGAAACTCCACGAAGGAGCTCACTTCTGCACGTGAATTGGGTGACTGGGGCTCCTGCAAGTCGAGATGAGGGGAGGCGAATTGGATCGAACAGGCAAAGGCTGTTGCCGTTGCTGATACAAGGTTGAAGCACAAAGGCACGACACTACATTGCAGTCCAACTTGTTCTCCCAGTCCTCGATGCTGAGGGATCTGCCTGCGGAGTCCATGTGGCAGAATGAGGAGTGGCGGACTAATTATGAGCACTTAGTTCGTGATCCGTGACCTGGAGGCCTGCCGACCGAACATGCTGCCAGAGCATGCTCAACATGGGCCCACCTTGAGAGGCGAAGGGTCGGTCATCCTCTGATCCCACCATGGCAGAAGGGCCCCTTTGGGGCACGAGCCCTGGCTTCCTCTTGCCGGCTTAGCATTGAAGCCAGCTCGGAGCCAGAAAGCTGCATGCAGATGTTGAATCTGTGCTGCCAGACGCGGCCAGGTCACCTTCTACGACTCCAGCGATGTGGATGTCTGTACATATGTATGTGTAACAACCGTATGCACATATGCCTGTAAGTAAATAATAGGTAGGCAGGCAGGCAGGTAGGTAGGTACGGTGCGTAGGCCCGTATGTGCTGTAGGCAGGTCGGTCGTATCGAAACCCTTGGTTGGCCTCGATGGCTTTCATCTGCTGCGGAAGGGCTCTGCTCGTCTTCGCCGGCTCTGCCTCAATGCACCTTGGATCGGCGAGCTGCCCAGAGGGGTTGAACTCCATTTGAAGGTTCCGGTATGCTAGCTCAGAGAGGGAGAGAGGATGCAATCCTGTAAAGGTATGTGTATCTATATATATATATGTATTCTGTGTGTTTTATATGTATATACATTCATACTAACAAAACCATAATACATATACATACTAAATATGCATATGTATACACAAGATGCATGAAACCTGTCAGACCGACCCTCAGAAGTTTTTCGCAAACCTTCCCAAGAACTTGCGGTGGGGTCCAGTGCGGAGGGCCCATGAGTATGCTTGATGTTCTTGACGATGGCGCACCATCTTCATAGTTTCCGTCATACTGCTGGGTCCATGAAGCATCTTGAACGAATAAGTCTATGGAGTATATGAGGGATTGCCTCCGGAACCGTAGCACTACAGTATCAGGCTTCTACGATCCACCAAGTCTCGAAAGCCAAAACGAAGCCAAGCTGCTGATCGATTGCCTCAAGGAGAGCAGCTCGAGCTGTTGGGGCATCCTCTCTGTGCTGGGCTGCTTCTTTCGCCATCTGCTTCTTCAGCGTAGCGATCCGTGTCCTGGGCTTTTTTGAATGGTACAGATTCCCTTGCCGCACAGAGATGAGGCACACAACGAGTGTTCAGCCCGGTTAGAGTTGCGGTGTTGCTAGCCCGTTGAGATTTTACGGGATCAGGATTGAAAGGTAGCCAACAGCTCAGCAGCTCAGCCGAGCTTCGTGTTGCCCGATTTCGCCTTGGTTGACGTCACCCCAGGACTGTGCTCAAATACGGAAAGCAGCTTGAATGCTAACCGCTTTCAACCGAACAGCTACAGAATCGCATGTAAGCGAACAGAACCGAGTACTTGCTGCATTCATGGGGCCGCACTAATGGCCGCGTATATCAGGCCTCGAAATTCGAGTGCCGATGCCAAGCTGGGCGTCCACGGGGACATCACCCTGATCTTGCCTGGGTGCACTCTAGCGAACCGTCAGACATGTCAACGGCACGTAGTCTGAACCCTGAGCCTCGCACCGTGCACATCGGACGCGAACTGGAATGTCCAAGGGGCTTCGGCCATCAAGGCCTCCAGCTCTTGCCTTTCCAAAGGATGTACCTCCTCCGCAGGCTTTTGCAGATTCCCGGTCGCCGCCTTTCTGCGCTCTAGATACTGTGTGTAGCGTGCAAGCGCTCGTTGTCGCGTGTTCACGGCGGCGACATGTATTGCCAGAGCTTGCTCGAGGGTCGGGATGTGGGTGGCTCTCATCCTGAACGATCGCCAGCTCACATCAACCGAAAAGCCAGTTCGTTGTCGCGAGAGGCCCCGGTTGGTGGTTTCCTCAAACTCATCCGGAGCGGAGGGAACTTGCTGCTTGCACATTCCCTGCAGAGCAAGCTTGAACTTCCTGAGAACTTCGACCTTGTAGAGCTTCAGCTCGTCGGCAGGGCACTCCCCGCGCAGCAAGAGTGCTGCGAAGAGCCGGTCCGAGCACTCGGTCAAACTGCTTTCTTCTTCAGCCTCACCAGGGCCAGGGAAAACAAGGAATTGCTGGTGCAAATGCAAATGCAGCGTGCAGTCCTGTTCCAGTTACCAACGATTTGGGAAAGTTTCACAAGAGTGAAACAACCGTCACTAACATGTTTGCATTTCGGCAACGTGCCGCGAAGAGGAAGGGTGTTGTGGGGCTTGAGGTAGTGGCCTCGGGGCTCGCAGACCTGGTGAAAGGTGAAACCCACGCATCAGGCCCTATGACCGGCAAGGTCCCAAGAGTATCTGAGGGCAGCAGCACGGGAACAATGGCGAATTCCCGCGCCCCTGATGAAGACCGGCACTCTCTTAAATCGTTCAAACTACGAAACCTCCTCCCCGTGGCACAAACCGCGGCCTTACGCAGAGAATCTGTCAGGGCCACGTAGGCGGCTTGGACTTGGGCGAACAAGGCTGAGGAGCCCCCCTTGTCAGGGTGAGTCCTGAGAGAAAGAACGAGACGAACGCGCAGACCCCAATGTGGGTGCATCCCACTACTAGTCAGTACCGGTAGCACGAGTAAGGGGCGAGAGGAAGAGGACGAGAGATATAAACGCAGGACAACGCAGGCCTGTGGGACCGTCAAGTACCATTACGAGAGAACGGCATCGACTGCAGCTGAGGCACTGCAGCGCTCTGCGGCGATAGGCGCTGTTGATCTCTCGCAAGGATGCTCCGGGCTGGAGCTGCAACTCCCTGTAATGACCTCGCTTCGGGGTGAAACAAACTCCGAGCCTCGGCACAAGCGCTTCAACGATACTCCTCGAAGGCAAGAAGCTTTCAAGGTCGATGCCACTTCGGCCAGCCGAGGCAGCAGTGTCTGGTGCTTCTGGAGGCGCCGCTGCAGTGGCCACCGCATCCACCGCTTTGCACTTGAAGTAACTGCTCAACTCTGCTTGCTTCGCACCCCCTGAAGCTGGAGAAATCCTCGCTTGAGCTGGCGCAGCTGGTGCTGGCGGATCCGCCGGAACAGCCTCTGGCTCTGCTTCTGCCTGGGCTCAGCTCTGAACGACTTCGAACGAGCACTTTCGACAGCCGGAAATCCTCGCAGCTGCCCCGAATCTGCCAAGCCACCACCGCTTGCCTCTGCGCACCCCGAAGTCGTGGTTGCGCTTTGCCTTTTGCTTGACACTTCGCTGCTGCCTGAATCTGATAGATGTGGGACGAAATTGTGCTCCAAACACGGCCCTTCCGACCTTTGGCAGCTTGCGCTTGCCCGCGCCAGGCTCGTCAGGCTGCGGGTCGGGATGCCTCGCTGCATCCTGCGCTGCCTGCAGGCAATATGCAGACACGACACAGAGATACACAGAGTATAGAGTCCAAACCTGAAAGCATCAAGTGGCTGCAACATACTTCTGCGTCGCCTCCGGCCGCTGGGGCACCCCGGCCTCGCAGCACACTCGAGGGCGGAGGAACAGATCGATCAGTTGACAGTTGGCCCTGCCTTCAGTTCTGCAATGATCTTGTCGAGGGCTCCGCCGTGCATGCCCTTGGTGTTTGCTCGGAAGGGCAAGCACTTCAGCTTCTCCACGAGGCCTCCGGCAAATCTTGAAACCGGAATCGGATGCGAGCGATTGCAGCCGGGCGCCTGGGGCTTTAGTGGAAGCCAAGTCCATGCAGGCTTCTTTCTGCTGATGGAAAAGTTCGGCTCCATTAGGCCGGTTCGTCACCTCGAGTCCAACACGGTCAGAGGGAGCTCTTCGATTTCTTGGTGGCATTGAGGCGCTCTTATTATTTTATCGCATTTGTTTAACACTAGCTCGAGCAAACCCAGGCTCGCAGAAGCCTCTCACCCTCGTCTCCCCCTCTCTGTATATCCCCTCTTCCAGAAGAGCGGCGAGGTCCGCCAGCTCCATCAGCTTGCGCTCCATCTCGGAGGCGGCCGCGCGCTCCTCCCCGGTGTAGGGCCCTCGATCCTTGCTAAGATCCAGCGCAAACGAGGGGCAGCGCAGGCCCTCCACACGCAACGTTCATAGGGTCAACAGGACATGCAGGACTTGTGCAAGCGAGGCTCCCTGAGCTTGGGTCTCTTTTTGGGTGGCTCACCCATGCTTGAGGAAGCTCTTGGGAGCCGCTAGGCCGCTGACGACGCCATGCGCAAATTACGAATTTCGGATGCGAGGCATGCAATGCACCGAAAGGGCGGCAGCACTACTCTTAGAATGCAATTTTGGTTGGGCTGAACCTCTGCTGCTCTTCGGTGAGCTACCTCTTACGGAATTATCCCCGGCTTGCTAATCGAGGGATCTGCCGGGTGCAGTTGCAGCTTCGCATGAGATCACAGAGTGTTTGTCCCCTTGTCAAAAGATGTTTGGCCACTCTTCACTCTTGCAGACTTGCGAGCCCCTTGTCGTCACGGGGCCATGTACCGCGCCAAGCTTGACTTGAGCAGCAGCCGTTCGTCCAGAACTTCAAGAGATGCTGCAAAGGCATGCCATTCCGATCAAGACGTTCTGGAGCCGTCAAAGCACCCTCTGCAAGCCTAGACAGTGTAAAACCGTGTAAGCGGATCCTCAAGCAGTCCAGGCACGCAGGATGCTGCGGCTTCAAATAGGGGCCGCGCGCCTGGGCTGCGCTGAGACACCACAACTCCGGGTACCGCTTTTGCTGAGGCAGGTGCAGCTGCACGCATCTGGATTCAAGGTGCTCAACTTGGCGTAGGACCTGAGACGAGGCCATATGATCCACTTCGAGATGCGACCGAGTCTGCGAGCGCACAGGCCAAATTACATGCCCTGCTAGATCTCTGGGAGCTGAGCCAAAGAATCGTGGACAGCTCGAAGGGCTTGAAGTTCCTGACCTCGCCAAAGGGCCACTGTAGCCCAAGGAGGCTTTCGGTTTGGGTTCCTGGGGTTCCGGGCCTGGCCCTGAGCAGGCGTCGCGATGGCCTCCCGGCACAGCACAGGTCGTAGGGCACAAGATAACATTTGAGCAGAGCTGTTTTGGGCTGTGCCGGGCTGGGAAGCTGCTCCTGTAAACACGGTTTTATGCACACAGGAGCCGGGGCCAGATCCATGTGATGCCACTTCGGATTCCCAGAGTTCGGATGCACCAAGCACGCTGTCCGATGCTGTACAAGCGAAAATCCCTCGGGGGCAGCGGGCTATACAAGCACTTCAGACTCAGACTCCCCCAGGCAGACGCACTGGCCGATGAACCTGGGAAGGATTCCCGAAGGTCTTGCAGTAACGGGTGCAGTCTAATGATTTCGTGCCGCTGCATGGGTGTTGCTGGAGAAATGCTTTTGCTTGCGACACATCACCATGTTCAACTGGATTGAAAGGGCCGGGAAGAAGCCAGTACCCTCATGTCCAAGACAGAAGGGCAAAGGTTCGCTCGTGGCTTAATGAAGGCACATGGCACCAGAAGCACTTGCAAAAAACCCGCAAAAGCTTCGAGCCCCTGCCAGGAAACCGCTGCGGCACGATGAAGGTGCAGCGTGGAGCCGGTTTCCCAGTCAGAACTGCCTGGAACGTGGGCTGAGAGCGGATCGTTCGAACAAGTCAATCCTATCTCCAGGCTCCTGATCCTGGTTTGCAGCAGAGCCTGCACTCCCCCCCATGAGCCGGAGCCTTCAGCTCGTGGTAGGCATGGCAGGTGAAGTCCGCTGGCTGGGCTTGCTTGGCTGTCTCCACGTTAGTGGCGACCTGATACGATCACATGGCGACTTCGGGTTTGCAGAAAGACTCGTTGAGGATGTAACCCCGGTGCACTGGAGAGAAACCTCTCTCAAGTTGTGATATCACAGAGACGCATGGCACTAGTGCTAGTGTTATCGAAAGTAGAGGAGCTTCTTGCACACCAAAGTGGCTGAAATCACGAAGTCGAAGCCTGGAATGTATGTCGTCTGCGACTGGTACCCATACGTGTCACCCACGTGTCCGTAAGCATCCGCATCACCGATGCTCCACGCCAGGTTGAAGGTGCCCATTCCATAGAACTTGAAGCTGCCTTGGAAAAGCTCACAGCAAAATATATATATATATATATATATAAATATATATATCTATGAGCGGGGCACTTGCAACTAGGGACTGTAGAGGCAGTGGGTCTGCTTTGTGGACGTGCCGTACTGTACAGGTAAATCTTTGCAAATTTTGGTGGTCGGCAGTGCAGTGATGCAGTGGTGGCAGAGGGCGGTGCCCCTAGTGCTGCTGGTTCGTGAGGGGCGGGGGACACAGGAGCAGTAGGGAGTTGTGAACCATTACGAAAACCAGCAGCACAAGGTCTGCATCCCACCTTCTCTGAAACCTATGGAGAGAGAGAGAGAGAGGACAGAGAGACAGAGAGAGAGACAGAGACAGAGATAGAGGCAGACCTGCTTAGGTTGTGTCTACGGTAAGCAGTACAAGAATAATGATTTCCAGCATGACACTCATTCCTGGAGCGGTGAAGTTTGTCAAATGCGCTTGCGACTGCGCCGTGACAATCTTGGGGTCCTTGGTGTTGTACAGGTCGTATGTAAAGCGAGCAATGTCGGCAACGGAACCCACGTAGTCCCCCGCTGTCCAGCCTCCCAAGCAGCTGACGTTCCAGACGTCCTGCTTCGGAAGCTGTGCGCTCGGATAGAATCCCATGAAGCCATGCACAGGCGTATACTGGCTGCAGGGGCCCTGTTTCACGAACAAGGACTGGGTGAAATCCTTCTGCAAGGCGGCGGGGACCACGCTTGCTTGATCGTAGCCCTGCCAGCTCCACGCAGTGCCGGTTCGATGATGGTGCGTGGCAAGGACGAAGCCCAAAAGAATATAGTTGGTACTGCAGTAGCTCTGGCGCTCTCCCGGCGAAAACTGAAGGGTGGGGCTTACGAACCGGGTCAAGATCTCCACCGGGCCGAAAGCTTTGGATCGGTTGGCAAACTGAGCTGCCGAAAAAGCCTCGCCATCGTAGTCTTGGATGCCGGACGTCATGTGAAGCAGATGCTGAATTTCGACATCCCGGATCGGGCTGCCAAAGTGGTCCTCCAAATGCGTGCCGTTCAACTGCAAAAGGATGGGATCGATGTGCAAACTGATGGGATCCGTCAGCTTCACCAACCCCTGCTCCACCAGCTGTAGCACGGCCGGGGCTGTGATCATCTTAGTCGTGGACCCCCAAACCTCAAGCCACGCACGGAAGGTACGCGAGCGCAAGTGATGAACCACCCCATCTGCTGAAATCCCCTCATTTACAAACTCCCAACCTCACTCTGCTTCAACAACACCTTATAAGAAGAGTCCCGGCCCGGGCACGTAGAGATCCTCTGGAACTGCTAGCCGCGTTTTTTGGCCAAGCCCGAGACCTGAGAAGCGATCAGAATCCCAAACAGTCGGGGTAAGGGCAGTAGTATGTATAAAAACAACAAATCGATACAAACAGAGAGAAAGAGACTATGTGCATGTGTGTATGTATATACATACATACATACATACATACATACATACATACATACATACATACATACATACATTACATACATACATATATATATATATCAAAAATAAATAAACCCTAAACCCTAAACACTAAACCCTAAACCCTAAACCCTAAGCCCACAAATATATGATAAACCCCAAGAGCTCGAGATCCTGTCTGAGCTGAGAGTAGAGCTGGCTGGCGAACTCCTTTGACAGGCGGACCTAGGCAGCCGGGCATACCATACACAACTTAATGAGTGGAGCAGGGGTTCCTTGAAGGGTTTAGGGTTTAGGGTTTAGGGTCCCACTCAGGTTTGCAGGATTTTGGAAGGCTTAGGGGGTTTTTTTTGATTTGAGTACGGTAGCTCTCGCTACATTGCCGACTAAAAGGAGGCACCATAAGCAACTTAGTCCGAGCCCTGTAGTATGGCTTCTGTGGCTGTCTGGCTTCCTTAAGGACATGGGAGTTTCCGACAACAAGGGGTACCCTATTTTGGGGCCCCATAAAATAAAAGGATCCTGATACTTCAGGGTACTATATTAGGGTCCCCTATTTTCGGAAACCCCCGTATGGCTGAGACTGTAGGGGCCCGGTTTGACGTAGGGTTTTGGGTTTGGGGTTTAGGGTTCAAACCTCGGGGGTTAAAGACAAAAGGGGTTAAAAAGGTGGCTCAGAGTACGTTAATATGGGGGCCTTAGTAATTAGAATAGGGTTTTGGGGTATGCCATACTATAAGTAAAGTCGGGAACCCCCAAAACCGTATTCTAATTATTCAGAGGCCGATTACGTTAAACCCAAAACCCCAGACCGAAACCATGAGCCACTCAACCTGAACCCCTAAACCGGGGTTCGCTGTTGGTTTCACGGAGTTTTTGGCTTTGGGCCTCGTGTTGTGATGACGCGTCTCGGCTCCGAGAATGGGGGGGGGCCCTGGGTTCTTGGCTTAGGGGTTTAGGGTTTAGGGTTTAGGGGACTAGATGTACACCTTCTCAACCCCACATCACGAAGCGAAACGAAATCCGAAAACCTAACCAAAAAAAACACCATACACCCTACGAGCCAAACCCTAAACCCCTAAACCCTAAACCCTAAACCCAACACCCCAAACCCTAAACCACAAATCCCAAACCCCAAACCCCAAACCCTAAACCCCAACCCCAAACACCAGATCAGATAGAACCAAAAGCCTCAACAAAAACCCACGGCAAGGGGCCTTAATAATTAGAATCGGGTTTTGGGGTATAGTATACCATGTTTATAATAAGGAACCCCCAAAAATAGTATAGGTAATTAACCTTACACCCTAAACCCTAAACCCTAAACCCCTCAAGCCTCAACCCTCAACCCTAAACCCTCAACCCTGATTCCTAAACCTATAGGTCCCTACTTAGGCCCCCATATTACGGCCAGGGAACCCAAAGATCCTCCGCGCTGAGGTAAAGCCCATCTGCGGCCTTGGCTTGATGGGTTTCGGGATCTTTAGGGTTTAAGGATTAGGGTTTTTTTTTTAACGTGTAGTGGCAACTTCACAGAAGCACCAGTCCGAGAGGACCTACACCGGTGAAACATGACCTCAATGAACTGAATCGGGTAGTCCATCTCGAGGAAGGCAGCACCATGACGACGCGCATCAATCACCGTCATCTCAGGGTTACGCCAACCTCACAGATCACGAGGCCCAACACCAGCATCATCACGATCCTCTTCTGGTTGTGGCCAACCAATGGTCAAGGTGACACTCCCCACTGCTGTAGATGCAGGTGCAGGACGAACATCTTCGTCAAGTTGTACACCACCTTCCGGCAGAGAGGCATGTTCAGGTAGAGCCTGCGTCCCATCATAATCTCCCCCGTCATGGTGATCAGCATCCCCCGAATCGTGTAGAGGTAGAGCAGAGTCAGCAGGTCGAGCATGCGTCCCAACATAATCTCCCCCGCCATAACGATCAGCATCTCCTGAATCATGTAGAGGAGCAGAGCCAACAGGTTCTGCACATGGTACCGTCGGCAACATGGATGGCTTTTGGCTCAAGGTTTTGTCTCCTCTTCCCTGGTTTCTTTCCACTCCTCATTTCGTTCGTTGGCGCTGCTGTGACGCGCTGTCCGCTGTCCGCTTCTCTCTCCTGCTGCTGCTGGTGACGGTTGTGGGCTGACTGGGTGCTCGGTGGCGTGACTTTGGTGGTGATCGAGTTCTCTGGTTCCTCTTTGTTGTCTTCTTCTTCTTCTCCCTCTTTGTGACCGTTGACGAGGGCGAGATTGGTGGCTTCCTGGAACTTGAGCGAGATTGGTGACTTCTTGTGCCCGGCTCTTCCCTGAACTTCGTCTTCCTCTTCCACCTGATCTTCTACTTCTACGTCATCCTTGTCTTCGTCGCCTACTACCTCTGCACCGTTTGCTGCTGGAACAGGCCTTACGTTGACCGGTGGTTGTCCTCTACCTCTTCGTCCTCTCTTCATCACTGTCTACCTTTGCGTTGATTGCTGGGACGAGCCCTTCGTTGACCGGTGGTCGTCTTCTACCTCACTATCCTCTGCACCACGGACGGGGAGAAGTGACATCTTCTTTGTGATCATGAACAGCGTTGTGGAAATTGGTAGCCCTACAGAGGTTGTTTCTGATATGGAGGCTGTCAACGAAGAAGATGATGGAGGTGGAGTTGGCAAGACTGAGCCCATTTCCCCGGTGCCAATGCAAGAGGATGGACTTCACGCGGGGGACATGATGGCGGAAGCCACGCGGACCAGGAAACGAGAACGTGATCGACTTCGACGTGGCGATGGTGGGGGAGAAATAAAGGAAGAACCCGATATAGAGAGCCCCACGAAACGTGCTCATGAGCGACATGATGATGATGAAGCCCCGCTTAGTGGCAAAGAGTTGAGGGACTTGTTCGCGCAGCACCTCCTTTCGGTGAAACAGGAGCTTCAGTCGGCATGGGGAGATGTTCGTGGGCGCCTTGATCGTGTCGAACATGAAGGGGTGAGTACCAAAGAGCAAGTGGCACTGCTCAGTGGGAGAGTTTCAGTCAATGAAAAGGACAACGTCGTGCAACAACAGGAACTTGCTAGGCAAAAAGGGCAGATTGGTGACCTTGAGACGGAGGTGGAAGGGCTCAAGAAGCAGATGGCCGAGATAAAGGTGCAGCCGCCGACGACAGGGCAGACATCCTTTCTCTTGCCGGGACAACGTCCAGATGAGGCCCCGGATCCATGGGCGGTCTATCTTCACCAGCGGCGGAGGGCAGAGAGTGTACAACCACGTCCTGATCAACAGACTGGAGGGGAAAATCGAGGGCGACATGTACCTGGACGAGTGGGCGACAATGATCAATCAGGCCTGTCTGATGAAGATCGGCGAACACTCATTATTGGTGGGTGGTTGCAGGACACCAAGAGGGAGATCATTGAGTCGGAAGCAGCATCTTTGTTGGCCTCGGCCGACCTCAAGCCGTTCTTGGACAGTGACAAGGTGATCGTGTTTGGACCAAGGAAAAGCTTTGCGGTCATCAAGTTCAAGGAGAGGGAGGGGGAGAACTTTTCTCACGTCAAGGAGAGGATGTGGGGAGTCATTAAGTATGTCAATGCCCTTAAGCACAAATGGCTCAGCGCATCATCTCCTCAGCAAAAGCCGGCTTGGATCTCCTTCCTGAAGTCCAAGGGGGCGAGACAGAGAACAGCGCATGCCTCAATGCTTCGGCGCATAGCCATTGACCTTGCGAGTGATGCCAAGACCGAAGAAGGCACCCCCAAATGCCCGGACGCAATCCTGCCTGAGAACTACGACGTCGATTGGGCAGCAGGGACAACGTGGAAGGCACAATGGAAATTGGGGAGCTCCAGTCATCGTCAGCCCAGGGGAGACGAGATCAAGGTGATGCCTGGTGGCTGGGTGGACATTGCAGCACTGTGCCAAGCAACTGGGGCGAACACCTCCGAAGTCATGTCGACTTTGGAGCGTGAGCTGAACCTGTGAGAGCCACGGGAGAGTTTCACTGGTGGTGATCCTGAAGGGATTGTTACTACACGCATGAGGCCGGGTCGAATGAGTGCAAAACATGTTCGTCTGGTTTCGGCATGCTGGAATTTGGGAGGACAACCTCTGGAAAAAGTGAACAACGCTTGTCCTGAGGGAGACCTTTTCTTTGTGCAAGAAGTGTCGAGGAGAGCTCCGGGATGGCAAACTCATGGTGACGATGATCGCTGCGTGTGGATCTCCTTTCAACATCCTGATCAATGGAGAGGGACGGCAATTGGCATAGCGAATGACATCTTTGATTCGGTGGTGGAACGCAGATCAAGTAAACGAGGATGTGCTGTAGTTGCTCGTCTACGCAACTTCGGCCGTATCATTCTTGCCTCTGTCCATGCTCCGACTGGTGTTAGCAATGATATCTATAGTGCTGCTCTTCAAGAAGTGGGAAAGATGTTTGGAGACAAATGGAGGCACCTTCCTTGCATTCTCGGTATTGATGTCAATGAGGAGATCCATTGGAGGGAGGATGGAGAGGCCAGCATGGGGGCGGATGTTTGTGTCGGAAACTCCAACTTTCAAGCAATGACGGACAACCTCCTGCACCATGGTCTTCGTGTTGTTCCCCCTGGTCGTGACCAATGGCAGCAACCAACACACTTTCCACGTGATTGCACAAGACAGGGGCGTCAGATTGATTTGGTACTTGTCAGGCACGTCTGTATTGAGACCACGCAGATTGATGCAGAACGGAGACATGCCATTGGTACAGATCATGCTCTACTCAAAAACACCATCTCGCTTCGCTGTCGCACCAACAAGGTGTGGAGCCCTGACTCTCGACCGCGGTGGTTATGTCGTGAACTTCCTCGGGAAGAGATCCTTGTTGATTGGGATGATGTTCGCAAGCTCGCGAAGTCCCACACCAAGGCTCGTGTCTCTGACAAGTACCGAGATGATCAAACCACAGCTGATGCTTTCAGAGATGCCAAGGATTCTATGCAGCCTGAGGCCTGGAAAAGAGCACACAAGATGAGACGCCAGGCGAGGCGGCAGTGGTGTGCTTCTCGTCGTGAACGCATTCTGAAGGGAGACTGGTTTGCTTATCGTGATCATAAACGTGACAAGAATCGAAGACCTGGCTGGTGGGGGAGACTTCTTGAACAGAGGACGTCCAAAGAAATCACTGATGAGGTCCAGCAGCACCTTGAGGAGAAACTAAAGGGCCCTTCGTCTGTCGAGTGGGATCAACGACTTCATTGCCTTCTGGGAGAATTGCCAGATGATGCTGGTTGGCAACCCTTCAATTGGGAGGACATTGGGGCGGCTCTTTCTGAAATGCGTGCCAACTCGTCGGTTGGTGAAGATGGTATTGGGGTTGATCTCCTTCGTCATGTTCATCAACATGAGCAGCTTGGAAGTCAGCTGGTTGACCTTATTAATGACACGGTGAAGGCGACGCACTGTCCCACTAGTTGGGACACCAGCCTCCTCGCTTTGTTAGCCAAAGTTGACGTTCCGACACGCCCCAAGGACTTACGTCCTATCAGTATGAGCTCCGCTGCCCAGAAATGCATCAACAAGTTGGTCATGGGGCGTGTTTTTCCTTGTCTTCGTCGCCCGAGTGGTGCCTCGTGTTGTGGTCGCACGAGACAGTCTGCTGATCTCATTGGTGGCATCACACGCTTACGAGATATCACGCGCGAGTGGAAGCTTCCCATGGTCTGCGCCAAATTGGACGTCAAAGGTGCCTTCGATCGGGTTCGGCGTGATGCTGCTGCCCGTCTTCTTATTGACCGCACTAGGAACTATGCACTCAACGCTGAAGTCCGATGGCTGGTTCGTCAACTTGGGACGAATTTCCTGGATGGGTCTGTGCCTGGGGGAACGCGCATTCAAGTTGAGTGCACCCAAGGCATCAAACAAGGTGCCCCGGAATCTGCAGAGCTATTTGGCCTCCTCATGGGCTGCCAGATAGACAACATGCTTGACTCGCCTCAGTGGATTAGGATTCCTGTGCCTTGGGGAGACGTTCCGTTGTGCTTGCTCTTTTACCAGGATGATGTCTTCGTCTGGGATGAGCATATCCACTCTCTCAAGAAACGCATTGAGTTGGTGGCACAGGTGTTGGGGGAATTGGGCCTTGAACTTGCCGAAGAGAAAACCCAGATCATCGCGTCCCCCCATTACACTGGCAACAGATCTATCTGGATTGGTGACCAGAACGTCAGCGTGCTCCCTCCTGAGGAAACGATCCGTGTTGTTGGGGTCAACTTCTCCTTTCATGATTCCCCTGGTAGTCAAGCCAAAGATCTTCTTGCAAGAGCTCGTGCTGCAGCTGCCCTTCATTCTGACCTTCTTGGGGAGAAAGCAAGCTGGTGTGACAAGGCCAAACTCATGCAAACCCTTGTCTTCGGGACGATTGCCTGGAGTGCTGGGGCGGTTCATTGGACTTCTCTTGAGCTCATGATGGCGAATAAGATACAGTATGAAACCTTGCTGATGAAAACTGGGTTGGGTGGAATCAGAGAACGTGTAGACAAGTGAGGGCTTGGATTCATGCTCAAGGGCTCCGTAGATGGTCTACACTCATTCTTGAGCTTCAGTATAACCTCTACGGGCACTGGGGTCGTCAAAGTGAAGGTTGGGATGAGACTGGGAACATGATACCGGGCAATCCGCTCAAGATGCATCGCTGGCGCTCGCAACGCTGGTGGGTTGGCCAACAACAACTGTCCTCCAACACTGGTGTGAGGCACCCGGGGTGCTTCTATGCTGACAGCACGGAGCGGAAACTTGCTGCGTGCTTTGGGCTTGACTGGGAGACTCTTACTCGTGATCGTATGCTGTGGAAAGGGAGATGCGCGGAATGGCTTGCCATGTTTGATGTTCGATGGACCCGAGGCAGACAGGCCTCTCTACGATGGTGATGGCTTGGAGACGCATTGTCTATGAAGTCTTGTGGTGACTGAGTCCTGATGTGTCCCTATGTGCCGTTACGTTGGGGAGATGTAGTTCCGCCTTGCAGATGTCCATGCCGCATTGTCGTTTGCATTGGGGAGATCATGCCTATTTTATTTGAAGAATCTCGCATTTGACAGAGTGTGCAGCCAACCCCTCGCAATGTGTCCTGGCCGATGAATTCTGATGTGGACTGTGTTCGCAGCCCTTTTGTTCAAAACGTCGTGGTGATTTTCTTTGTGACCTCTTTGCCTCCACCTACCTCAACATGGGTGGACTTGGCAGCCTCCGCGGCTTGCTCTTTGTGGCCCTCCTCGTGGATGGACCTCTGGTTGTGGGAAGTTCATCTTCCTCTGAGAGAACCTGGCCAAGTGATGATGGTGTGCCTGTGGAGCCTCTTCTCCCTCTACATGATTCTGCGCAAGATCAAGGCCCTGTTGTACCTGTACCCCCTCTGCCCCATCCTGTACCTGATTCGCCACAAGATCAAAGTGAACCACTACACTCTCCTCATGTTGCGGTACCTGTTTCTGAACCAGATGGTGAAGCTGTTCAAGGAATGTATGACGGCGCTGGAGACCAAGAGCCTGTTCCACCTTTGGGCCGTACTCATGAGACTCGGGGAGATCATCCACGTCGACTTCGTCGTTGGGGTGATCGTGTTTTTGAGCCTCTGGGGAGACATTCAAGGGGATCCACACAGCCGTTTGAACCTCCTGCTGACCAACCCCTTCGTCCTCTACCCCAACAAACCCGTCCTGACGGAGCCCATGGTGAACCTGCACTACCAACAGTTCAGTCAGTCGAGGAAGACGCTCAACCTCTACCTGTACAGCCTCATGCGGATGATCTACCTGGACAAGACGGCCCTGCTGGAGCTCGTGGCGTACCACCTCTACATCCTGCCGCTGAAGATCCACCTGTACGTGCAGAACCTCATGCAGCTGATCTACCTGGACCACACGATCCTGCGGGTAGCCGTGGTGCCCCACCTCGTCATGCCGTTCAAGATCCACCTGTACATGGAGAACCTCATGCAGCTGCTCTACCTGGACCACACGATCCTGCTGGTAGCTGTGGTGCCCCACCTCGTCATGAACCACACCCACAAAGTGATGAACAATGCACTGGTGGTGGTCATGCAATGAGTGCTGATCCACCTCTTCGTCCTCTACCTGCTGAACATAGTGGGGAGATGTCTGAGCGCTTCCCTCCGCAGGCTCTGCACCCGAGGGATGCCCGACATCTACAGGAAGTGGAACGCCACACAGAGGGGCGACTTATTTGGTCGCCTGATCTCCCTGAGGATGATCGCAGTAGCACCTCTTTGTCGCTGCTGGGATTGGCGTTGGAGAACTACGGTTTGCCAGTCGCACCGACAGGAGATGTCACCAACCTTGCTACTGCACTACATGATGGACGTGACCTGCGCAGAGTACGCCGCCGCCGAGAACAAGAAGAAGATGAGACCAGGACATACTATGCCCCAATGACTAGGGTTGGGAGATCTGAGCCTTCTTCGTCTTCTACTTCCTGGAACATGGGGAGAACTGCTCCTTTGACCACGTCCGGTGGTGGGGGTGACTTTCCGGCTTCGTCCTCTTCGGCTATGCCCTTGTCGTCGGCGTCGTCAACAGGCACTGTTAGTGGGAGACATGCCCTGGCGTCATCCTCGACTTTGTTGCCTAGTGAGGCGGTGCCCAACATGGAGACCCAGTCTGACGAGGTGGACCCAATAATACCTGCTGATGATGCTGGTGGGGAGGCAAATGACACGCAGGCCATCACGGGAATCATGGGCGATATTGCTGGCTTGGAGGTGGAGGGCCACTGGATCTCCATCAATGACCTGCTTGCTTGGTATGCGAATGGGGGGAGTTTGCCGTGGCTGTCGATACATGACTTAATCCAGAACGCGGCGGAGGAGTTTCGACGAGTACATGGGGAACAACGGGCGCTGCTGAGTGCGGCACAACGAGCCCCTGGCGTGACGCCTGTGCCAAACTATGACCCCGTGGAGCAACAAGGAAAACGGTGGCACTATCCAGATGGCTCCAAGAGAAGCAATGTGCCCTCGTCGTCGACCGCCCAATCCTCTCCTTCGCACACTACATCGATGGCACCACCTGATGGGGATGAGGGAAGTGGCTTCTATCGTCATGGAGTTTGGCATGCCCGTCCGCGTACAGAGGCTGAAAATAAATGGATGCAAGGTGGCCAGGGCAAGACCAGACAGGACAAGCTGGCAGCGAGAGTGGAAGCTTGGGCAAGGGGCGAATGGGTCCCTGCGTGGCTCAGGCAGTACAAGGTTGAAAGAGATATCCGACGCCAACAACGTGATGACGCCAATGTGCCGACTCCGGAGCCACAGTGGCCTTCGCCATCTCCAGCCCATCTTGGCGACGATGGTTCTCCTTCGGGGAGAGATGGTGACGATGTGAACTTAGCACAGTGGGGGATGACTTTGCGTGGCAGCCATCATGCCCTACATGCTCGTCGGGATGACACTCATGGAGTTGGGGTGAAATTGGGGCGACTTGTTTGGATGCCTTCTCTTCGTGGTGTTGTACATGTTTCGGCGCTGGAGGGGGATGAGACGTCCTTCATGGAAAGACCTGGGCTGTCAGGGAGTGAGCTCTCTGAGCTGGCAGCTCGCAGAATACCTGAGGAATTGATACGTCGACTTGAGAGAATTATGCGCAGGTATGAATACTTTGTCAGTATGGAACAAGGTCCTGAGGCTCGCTGGGCTTTGGGTCGATGGCTGCTGGTGTCGCAAGTGCAGGATGATGCGGAGATCCCAATTCGTGCGAGGGCTCAAACGCCTTGCCACTATCCTCTTCGTCGTGAGCCTGTGGACTTGGACCTACGTGCTGAGCTTATCAGCTGGACAGATGAGATCACCAACGCCATGGCGGATATCTACAGACAAGCTGCACATGACGCCCATCCCGGGGAGCTTCGAGACCTGACTGTGCCGCCCATTGTCGAACCAATGTCTGCGCCTTCGTCTTCTTCGGGGAGACGTGATAGATCCCGGAGTCCGGGGCGACATCGTCTACACTCTGGGGCGACAGAGGAGGGCGATGTCACTAGTCTCATGGACACTGGCAGACCTATGGACAATGGGGAGGATATTTTGGACACTGGCAGGCCTGTGGACAATGGGGAGGATATTTTGGAGGAGGAAGCCTGCAGTGAACCTGATGTCGATATTCCTGTGTCGGATGGTGAAGAGGAGACTCCTGGCAATGCTGGGGAGACTCCTCTTGGCTCTGGGGACCAGGCGGCCGGTCCGTCTATGGGACTGCCCGGTCTGCTTGGCCCCGTTGGCTTGGAAGCGCTGGATTCAAGTTCGCAGAGGATGGAGGATTTGGTCTTTCAGGAGCAGGCATTTGGCGACAGGGCATTCCAGGTAGAGCACGCGGTTCGCGGAGCGATGCATTCGCTTGCGCCTGGCACGGCCCGGGAGGTGGTGCGTCGCATACTCTCGCGGGCTGACGTCATTGCAGAAATTCAGTTTTGGCTCCAGCGTGCCCTGCAGCAGGCCCTAAGGACGTGTCCGCATGGTGATGGTGCTATACAGTGGGGCGATGCAAGAGAGGCAGAAGAAGGGATTTGGCGACGGGTTGTTGGACTTGAAGCGGATGACCACATGGTTCAGCAACTACGACAGGTTGTCATGGCCAGGCTTCACCGTCGTGAACGTGAGCTTCGCGAGCTTGAGGCTTCACTCCTGGCTACAGCTACTGGCGAGGGCGCGTTACCGGGCACTGGTGAAGGAGATCTACCGCGCGGCTACTTGCCCTCAATTGCCCCTTCCTGGCCGCGCTCTGCTATGGTGGGGAGAACTCCTGGTGATGATGCTCGTGGTCCAACACGCGGCGGAAGAGCTAGGCCCTCCTCGGCACCGTATCTTAGGCCTCGGCCGTCCGCTCGTGAACCTCGACCTACCGATGACATGCGGCCGACAGCCGGTGGTGCCCTTGCTGCAGATGCCCAGGGCGATCCTCGTCTTCTGCATCCGCGTGGTCCTGCTCCCCTTCTACCTGATTCAGGACTTGATGAAGGTGGAACACCCAATATGACGGTGAGTCATGGTGGAGGACATGTGCCACAGGGTGTGCGACCTGATGACACTGCCGGACTACATGATTCGGGAGTTGCTGGTCACCATGATGAAGAAGACCGTTCTGGACTACCTGTGCTACCTGTACGTGCTCTTCTACCGGGAGGGGCGCTACCTGAACATGCTCTTCTACCGGGAGGTGATGTTCAACATGATGGGGAGGGTTTAGGGTTTAGGGTTTAGGGTTTAGGGATTAGGGTTTAGGGTTTAGGGTTTAGGGTTTAGGGCTTTAGGGTTTTAGGGTTCAGGGTTTAGGGCTTTGGGGTCTTGGGGTTTAGGGTT